TTAAAAATGTGGTGAGACATATTATGCTAAGAGATCATCTTTTATCTTATTTTAAATAAAAAAAGACAAGCCTTCTCTTATGAGTTCTCTCTCCTCCACCTCATCATTTATCTTACGTGGCACTTCTTAGATAGTACCGTTGTACATGCCTTAAAGCTAAGATATAACCCATTGTAAACATACTCTTTTGTCATCTCTAAATTACATGTAAGACTTAAGATAAGATTGTCTTATCAACCATTGTGCATGCCCTTATGGTTTCCGCCATTTATATATCCAAGTAACCAAACATCTAGAGTTGACGATTCTCTCTCTAGTAACAAACATCATTGTTTGCATAGGCTCCACCAGAGCCTGATTTTGCTTTACCATTCTATGATCTTTACCAACTGCAGGCAAATTGGCCCATAGTTACAAATTCCAATCATTTCATTGAAAACACATGGGGCAAAAAAAATGTTTCACTGCATCCAAGCCAAACTTGCTGTAGTGCCCATTCTTCTTGGCCTAGCGCCTTGTAATTGAACTTGTCGAAGACCTCGTTTGCCTTGTAGGTGCAGCCTGCTCGGCATCAGCGATGACGTCCAGGAAGGTGCGCAGCTTGCGCTTGAGCACCCTGTGCCGCTCGCTCCTCCATCACCTTGTACTTCTCCAGCAGGTAGCTGGATACCTTCTGCTTCACAATGGACAGCAGCGGTCCAACCACTATGGTGGCCACCAGCTCTGCCATCGGACTGCTCAGAGCTCGAAGAACCACACACAGGGCGGAGAAGATAATGGTGGTGTGAGCAAAGCTAGATCCTTGGTGCTGAACCTGGAGAGGGAACACACGGGGAATCAGACCTGCACTTTAGAGTGGAGAATGGCGGGGATGCAGAGCTCAAGTCCAGCCATTAACTGCATGTTTGTGTGGATCAATTGGTTGTGACGAATATAAGAATAGAGGAAACAGATCATACCTGGTGTTGTCAACGGCAAGCGGGACCAAAATGGCGGTGACATCCAAGACGGTGAACCTCAACCTCAACACCAGCATTCTCCTTCAGAATAGTCAATGACCAAACTTCGGAGATCTGCCAGGTGAGCCAGAAAGATAGTTTACGAGAAGATAAAAAAAGAAAATTTTCAGGTTGATACAAGAAGCAAATAAATCAAATATCTTTTTCGAGAAGATAAAGGATAACTGGATTCTCATTTTAGTAGAGAAAGAATATTTGGATTAAGGATAGTTGGATGAGAAGTGTGCTTAGAACAATTTCGTCAGTTTAAAAGGAAGCACATACATATAGACAAAAAATCAGCAAATGTGCTATAAGAACACCAACAAATAAGTGATAACAATACTCAGACCAGCAAAGCCATATCTTGCAGAAATTAGGTGTGACATTCGGTAAAAACAACAGGTTCACAAAGTCAGCCGAATCTATTGGTTTGCTGTCAGTCACCTTAACAGCGCATTTCTTTATTGGTCTACTTTTTTCCTGATGCAGTATAGTAACCAGAGTTTGTGTGTCACAAACTGAATCACCCAACACTGCCAAAAAGAATCACCTAATTGCTTCAAGTTACTAACACAAGTGATGCCCGACATTACTATTGAGCTGCTTAAATATCCAAGGCACTAGAGTTATGCAACTTAATTCCCTGAAATAGAAAATTTAGGCAACTTAAAATTGGTCGATAGACAGCCTAATTTGCAGGTTGCAGTAAACACCATCTAAGCTGGTTTGGAGCTCAATTTATGAAACTTAATTGGAATCAGGACGCATCATAAGCATTAGTTCACATAAAAAATGGTACTGTCATGTTCCAGAGCACCTATTTAACAGAAACAAACCTGTGACATAGGAGGGCAGATGCCGAGTGGCCAACGGCAAGCAGCTTGAAGAGGGCGCTAGTCAAGGTCACTTGTACAGAGGAGTTGGCTGCTGGCAGATATAAGTGACCAAGAATGGTTAGAAACATAGAATGGAATGTCAATAAAAGCAACATTAATAATCTTCAGCAACTATCACAACACAAGTAGCATTAATAAGCCTCAAGCAACAATAACAAGTTACTAAAACATATTACAATTATTTGAGGTTGCAAGCTAACTACCAGGAGCAGAAATTCGTATAAGCGATATATATAGAGCCAGCTTACCTAGGGAGTAGAGATTAGCAACTGGGAGGCCATGTAGGTTGCCTGGAGCTGCTGGTCCAGCATTTCCTCACCCTCCCGCGCCCATCGCGCCATCAGGATCTGCGGCGGCCTCCACCACGACTACGCTGCTATAGCTGAAGAGGAGGTGAGCTGCCGGTGATGATCCCTCGCAGGGAGCCGCGACTGGCTCAACTTGGGCCTGGGATAGCCTCGCACAATCGACACTAGTAGAAACCTTAGACCAAATCTCATATTTGCCGGCTGCTGCTGTTGGTTGGTAACTTCAGACATTTCACATTTTCTCCAGGAACCATTTATGAGCTAGCTAATTTCCCTCAACATATGTACACTTGCTTGCACGTACATTTGTCAATATTACATTTTGGTACATGCATGTGAGAAAATATTTTCCAAGCAAGTGATTCTCAGAAGTCAGAAGGGACTGCCACAACTAATAACTAGACCCTCATCCTTGACCCATCTCTGCTATTTTGGTACATGCATCTGAAGCGGTGTTGATGAACAATCACACTATGATTGTTTCTGACTACCATATATAGCATCTAGCTCTAGCAATTCAATTTTGGTATTCATATAAATAAAAAGATCACCTTCCCCTTTTTTCATATTCCAGACTACTAGTAAGCTAACAGCAGGAACAGGACAAGCACAATCAATCAATTCTTTAATGTCAGCCAAGCTTCCAGTTTCCACACATACATACATGATAGGAATCTCAAGACTAAAGGGCACAAGAAGGAAATGAAATGAAGAGCATACCATGCTTGGCCCAGCCTCCAGAAAGTATCCAGCTTCTAGGCCAGCTTCATGGAACCCATCCTGGAAAAAGAAAAGGGATGGAACTTCCTGACTCTAAATTCAGGGCGCCAAACTATCTGTAATATCTATTTTATCTAATGTGGCAGAATTGCAACTCGGGTCGAAATACGTGATCCAAAGTGTAATTTACTGAAAGGAACATGACTGATAGTACAGCATAATCCTCGAAAATAGGAAGAGCCAAGATGACAACAATGAGGCACACACAGCATTCCTATTTTCTACCTAAGACCCGGAGAAAAACATATTCATGCTAACATAGGAAAATAAGCGATAAACATATGCATTAGCACTCCACACAACTATAGTAAAGCTAGAGAAAAAAAAACACCTCAGGAACTAAACATGGTTCTGAAATACATATAATGAACTTTTCTCATGCCACAACTGCACTTCACCACATGTTTTGTGAATGAAATAAAATAGAACAAAAATGACTTACTTGGTCATGGATAACTGTGTCGAGCATCATATCATAATAAATAAACGAACAAGCCATGTTAAGTTTGCAACTTTAGGTTACAATCTTAGATCATCAATAGTTCAATATATATGAGCACAACAATAGGAGATGCACCCTTAAAAAAACAATTTCCATGCATGCATTTAACATTACTGAGTCAAAAAGAGTTTGCTTATGCAGACCTAAATTTAATCTTTACCACTTTCAAAATAGACAGAACTTAGTTGAGAGCAAGAAAGTTTATACTTTATTACAGAAAAAAAACATTAAGCCAACCTTTCTACCATTTGACCATTGTAAATATATATACTGCATATGTCAGGCTAATAATAAATCTGAAGATTGGAGACCTGAGGTCTGGCTGGGTCAACCACAAGTAAGGACTTAGTATGCATCAGGCTAACACATTTGAACACCGTACCCATAATGCGTATAACATAGACCGAGCAGAAAACACAAGTGCGTCAGTTGCTTTACAACTTGTAAGATAAATTTCTCCAAAAACCTATCAAACTTGTAAGAGGTGGCATAGATAATTATCATGATATTCAAAACATTTATTAATAACTATTTTTGCCCTAAGGCATCAGTACAAGCTTCGGTTGAGGGATAAATAAATAAGAATACAAATGCAGTGACTACTGAATTATGGAGAGAGCACCGAAGCTCCTTGAAACTACATAGACGATAAATAAGAGTACATATGCCATGAATGATTTACATGGACAGATGGACTCTAGATTTTACTGATGACTCCATGCATCTTATTTTTCAATTATTAATTAGGACCTGAAGTGAATCACAGCAGGCGAAGCCATGACCAACTCCTTAGTAATCTCCACCCTCAACATATCCTTTTGCTCACTGGTCCGTGGATACCGAGAAGGACAGACCTTGATACTGGGATCCAAGTCCCTGCAGCGCTTCCAGACCTGCCAGTCATACAGAGATATCTCCTTCAGGTTCACTGCAATCTCCATGACACGCCTAACGTATCGCACAAAGTTGTCCTCAGGTTGGAAGCCGTAAATGGTGAGCTTAATCAGATTCTTGTGCTTAAAATGAACTGTAGATGGTTGGTACTCCACATTTGCTTTCTCACAGTAACCAAGTTCCTTACGGACATCCTCGTCTGTCTCCATTTTGCACAAATGATCCCACACCGTGACGCATAGCTCCTTTAGGGAGCTTGCAGCTTCAAGAATGAACATGGTCCAAGCGATATCACATCCTTGCGGAAGATTGTCCAGATTCATAATCTGTAGCTTGCCAAGCACATGCACAAGCAGTCTGGGGCATTCAGGTAGAACCCAAATCTGGCACGGCACACAAGAAGCAAATTAATAACAATTGGGCAAACAAATTACATCACACCCTCAAGAGCTAGAAATGACTAACATAAGTTTGTAAGTACTATTATAAGCAATTAAAGGAATGAGACATACATAGGTGGCGGCTACTGAGTACCTTTTCACTTCTAAAATCCAGATGGAGGTCGCTTATCCAGGGTACATTAGCAAGGAGCTGACTTAACTGGAGATTACTAGTTGAGCTAACACCATCTTTTTCGAGTGTTAGCTTTGAAAGCTGCGGGACAAACAAAAATCAGGGGATCTTCTTGGTGAGACCAACCAACATATTTGACACGTTGGAGTTTTGGTAGACAGCTGAGTTGGACTGCTTCAAATTCCCCATAGTCGATGTGGAGCTCAACAAGTTGAGCATGTTCTACTTGAAGCACAGATTGGACCCCTGCGTCACAATAGGAGAGACGCAGTGATTCCAACCTCTTACAGGCGCTGAGGATGTTGGGGATGTCCAGTTCACCAAACCTCATATTGCGCAGCCACAGGCGCGTGAGACCAGCAAACATGGCAGGACAATCACCAAGCCAACTATTGAAGCGCTTGGCATAACAGAGGAGATGGTCTTCAGTGCATTTCAAACAAATCGTCTCCGTGAGGACCACAAACTCAGCAACATCGAGCTTTTGGGTTGCCATGGCAAGGGCGACGACTTGGCTGATGGAGAGACATTCATCAGGCCTCAAACAGAACCTGACCCTCAGTTTGCGGATGGGGATCTCAGGATTCCTCGCACTCAGGACCTTCTCAATGATAGCAGCCACAGCAGTGTTGTACTGAAAAATACGATTAGTGGTGTCGACCTTGGGCTTGATGTAACGCGCAAGGGAACCAATGTCTATATCAAGCAGCGAGAGCATGGGGGGAAGCTTGAGCATTCTCTTAGAGAGGATGCAGGTTCTCAAGGCATCTATCGTGCGAACCCTCTCCAGGATGTTGAGTAGAACGTGATCTGGCAGCTTGCTAAGCCTATCAACTTCGGCTTCATCCGAAGCTGCTTCGTGGCAGCGAGCTTTGGCTTTCTGCATCGCATTAATCAAGGAAAGAAAATGAGCCTCATGGGCATGAACAAAGGAGGAGAAAACATGAAAAAAAAGACACTTACATTATTGTTTTCCATCTCCCGCAAAGTCCCTCATTGGCCAGGGATAGCCTCATTAGATGGATCAAAGAAGTCGAAACCTCCTGCGGCTAGTCCGCTAACAAGGGCAGCACAAGAATAGGAGAATCACATCCTAATGATTACTGACTATATCTCGTGACACAAACTTTGCTATTAATAAATATAAAAATAAACGGCTCCTTTTCTTCTCTTTCGATTGCGCAAGGCCTGGTTGCTCCTCTGAGGCTGCCTTTTTTTATTCTATGGATTTACGGACGGATTTTCGGTTCCAATCCTGATTAGAGCATCTCCCTCAGGTCGAGGATTTGAATAAAAAGAGCTCCTTTTCGAGTCGAGTCCGCTTGGGATCTGAACCCCCAACCGAAATCGGCCCACGATTACACGAGGAATCCCGTGCGTGCCCAAAACGCAAAAAGGACATACCCCTGGACGGAGGAGGCAAGGACGCGGCGGGGAGTGGTTGTCGCCGGCGGCCGCAAGGGCGATGAGGAGAGCTGGCGGCGGCCTGCCCAAAGGCGCGGAGGGGATCGGGTCAACTAGGGTTTCTTTTCTCTTCTGGCGAGGCTGCTGTACTAAACTCAGGGTCTGTCTAAGATGATGCCATCCCTATTTGTGGCCCTATAGTTGACAACTTTTTTCCACCGATTCTATTTCTTTAATTGTCCAGCCAAGCTGCTGTTTTATTGCGCACGTACCAGGAGTCGAACTTCGAACTTACTACTCGAGCATCTCCAGCCGCGCCGCGCCTCCATCAGGCACTCCTCGTACATTTTTATTGCCTCAGCGTCAAAAATCGGTCCAGTCGCGATCTCAGAAACCCGTTTTTCACCGTTTAAGGCCGAAATTAGTGTCGGTGGATCCAGATCGAACCCGGCGCGCTGGGGCGCTCGAGGTCGCCGGGGCGAGTGATTTTGGCATGAAAGCGAATGGGCACGTCGAGTCAGCGAGACGCCGCTTCGCCGTCCTCATCGTCTCGGTTCCCGCGGGAATCAATGCGAAGGTTGCCGCGCTGCCGCGCCGGCCAGCCTCCATTGATGCTTCTCACGGCCGGCACCGTGAACGCGCTGCGACCCGCGTCCAGCCACGCGTGCCCGGCATGCAGCCCATCACCGCCCCGCTACGGCTATAAAAGGCGACCTCCCCGCCAATGGACGCCACGGCTCTCATTTTCCCCTCTCCGGCGTAGATAGCAACACTCCTCTCTTCCCGCCGACGAGAAACATGGTCGAGAGGTACCCAGGCGACGGCACGAACGGCTTCGGCCGCCGCCACCTCCAAGAACAGGAGGCGCGCCTGCTCTACGAGGCCGAGTACCCGGCGCCCCCGGACATGCGGGTGCCGGGGACGTGGCGGCTGAGCGCCGGCGGCGTACCGGTGCCACTGGTGCCCGAAGGAGCGGCGCGGCGTGCCGAGATCGCCCGCATCCGCTCTTCCCTGACGCAGGCGCAGAGGGACGAGCCGCGCTACGCCGCCGACAGCCACACCCTCTGGACCATGTACTTTCAGCGCCGCCTCGAGGAGCAGATCGCCGCCACCAATGGCGTCATCCCACGCGGCCGCTTCAACGCCGACGGTCGACGCGAGTGGTGGGGCGTGCCAGGCCGCACCCTCGAGGTTGTCCTCGACCACATCAAGATCGGCAACGTGCCACTCCTCGAGTACCCGCAACGGCCGTCCTTCTCTCGCCGTCGTGGTAGCTCTTGGACACCGCGGCGAATGGAGCCGGGGTCGTCCTCGTCGTCGGGTTCTGGCTCATCGGCCGCACTCCGCCCCGTCAAGCCCGAGCCGGAGGAGACGCCGCTCGGGCGCCGCACCCGCAGCGGTGCCCTCGTCATCAACGAGGGTGCCCGGCCCTCCCCGCCTGGTCTGGCTCCGGGGAGGCACTCCCTCCGCCTGGTCCGGCCGAAGCCCGAGCCGGGGCTTTTCCCGATGAAGCCGGAGCACGTCGAGATGGCAGCCCCCGACGACGAGTCCGCTCTCAAGTGGGCGAAGGAGGACTACGTCCGTGAGCAGGTCCATCGCCAGCGCCGGACGTACGCGGAGCTCCAGGCCCGGCGCCGCGGGCATGAGGAGGGCGGTGTCATCGTCCTCGACAACGACGAGGAGGACGAGGCCGGGTCGTCCAGCGCGCCACCGCGCCTCGCCGACCCTGGCCAGGCTTGCAGCAGCGATGTCGCCGGCCCAAGCCAGCCGCGCGATGATGGCGACGACGATGACGATGATGGCGGTGACTACACCCGCTTCTACAGGCTTCTCGGCATGTAGACGGCGGCGGCTGTTGGGGAACATAGTAATTTCAAAAAAAATCCTACGCAGATGCAAGATCATGGTGATGCATAGCAATGAGAGGGAAGAGTATCGTCCATGTACCCTCGTAGACCGTAAGCGGTAGCGTTATGAGAATGCGGTTGATGTAGTGGAATGTCTTCACGATCCGATCGATCCAAGTATTGAACGCACGGCACCTCCGAGTTCAGCACACGTTCAGCTCGATGACGTCCCATGAACTCCGATCTAGAAGAGCTTCACGGGAGAGTTCCGTCAGCACGACGGCGTGATGACGGTGATGGTGTTGCTACCGACGCAGGGCTTCGCCTAAGCACCGCTACGATATGATCGAGGTGGATTATGATGGAGGGGGCACCGCACACGGCTAAGGGATCAATGATCAACTTGTGTGTTCTAGGGTGCCCCCCTGCCCCCGTATATAAAGAAGCAAGGGGAGGAGGTCGGTCGGCCCTCCTAGGGCGCGCCAGGAGGAGGAGTCCTCCTCCTAGTAGGAGTAGGACTCCCCTTTCTAGGAGGAGGAAAGGAAGGGGGGAGAAGGAAGGAGAAGGAGAAAAGGAGGAAAGGGGGGCCGACCCCCTAGTCCAATTCGGTTTGGGCTAGGGGGGCCGCGCGCCCTGCCTCCTCTCTTCCACCACTTGGCCTATGAGGCCCAATACTTCTTCCCCGTATTCCTATAACTCCCCGGTACTTCGAAAAATACCCGAATCACTCGGAACCTTTCCGATGTCGAACATAGTCGTCCAATATATCGATCTCTACGTCTCGACCATTTCGAGACTCCTCGTCATGTCCCCGATCTCATCCGGGACTCCGAACTACCTTCGGTACATCAAATCACATAAACTCATAATATCGATCGTCACCAAACGTTAAGCGTGCGGACCCTACGGGTTCGAGAACTATGTAGACATGACCGAGACACGTCTCCGGTTAGTAACCAATAGCGGAACATGGATGTTCGTATTGGCTCCTACATATTCTACGAAGATCTTTATCGGTCAAACCACATAACAACATACGTTTTTTTTGACTATATACTGCGAGGCAACAGCCTCACAGCCCTTTATTCAAATCAATAAAACAAAAGGTTCTCTGTACAACTAAGGAGAAAAGAAAGAAAATACAAGACTTACAAAGAGAGCTATCATACTTACAAAGAGAGTTAGGGGAGAGAAGCTATCCAAGCTAACAGACTGTCCCTATATTTACATTTGATTCTGTGAGCTAATAATGAAAGGTCATGCACAAAATTCCTCCTCCAAGCTCTAAAACTAGGAGTCACGTTTATAAAGACTTTGCCATTCCTCTGCATCCAAATGTTCCATGTTGCAGTAAAAACCACCTCAGAATAGAAATGCCTATTGAAATCCTTCCTAGAAGCTGAAGCCATCATGAAAGTAGACTGGTTGGGTGCTGCTGGCCAGGAAATCCCAAGATAATTCCAAACTCTTTGACTAAAGTTGCAAGAGAAAAAAGGGTGGACTCTATCTTCATGAAAGGAAGACTGGCATAGAACACAAGTATCATCCTGGATATTCCAATGCCTTCTCTGCATCATGTCCCGTGTGTTAAGACGATCCATCAATAAAAGCCAACCAAAAACCTTGATTTTGAGGGTACAGGAGCATTTCCAAATGTACTTGAAAATTGGGTCAATCCTCAAATGAGAGAAGGTGAACTCATAGTAGAGCTTAGATTGATACTCTCCAGATTTAGATGGCCATTTCCAAACATCCTTCTCATCTGGATGCAAGCTGATGGGTTGTAACAAAGTCTGGAGCTGAGCTAGTTCCAGATATGCCTCCGAAGAGAAAGGTAGATGAAAACCTTCAACAGCCGACTAGTAAGAAAAGAAGTCCTTGACTGTTATCATATCATCAATGGCAAATGAATGAAGTCTAGGGTATCATCCTTAAGAGCAATCATTCTATTGTCAATTTGCCAACGATCAAGCCAAAAAAACCACAATGTCTCCAGCATGCACGTGTGGTGTGGCAAGCAAACATAACTTTTCATACAACTTGAGCACATCACGCCACCAAAAGGAGCCACAAAGCTTAGTAACTTGTGGGGCCGACGAATGATAATAGGAATCCCAAATAAGTTGAACCCATGGGACATCTTTCTTATTGAAAAACTTGAACAGATGCTTGATCAGAAGAGCTTCATTTTGCACTCCCAAATGAGTGACTCCCAGCCCGCCATACTTCTTTGGCTTACAAACCAACTCCCATGCAGCTAGAGATTGTCTAGGAGTTTCAGTATTCCCCCTCCAAAGACACTGTCGTTCAATCCTTTCAATCTGCTTGAGGATACCTTGCGGTATAGATAAGGAGCAGAGAAAGTAAATGGGCATGGACGTGAGGGCTGACTGCAGGAGTTGAAGCCTACTGCCTTGGTTGAGGAGACAAGAGGTTGCAGATGATCTTCTCTCAATGCGATCAACAAGAGGCAGTAGATCGTAAATGGTCGGCCTAGAGGTGCCCATGGGTAAACCAAGATACGTGAAGGGCATTGATCCAACAGAGCATCCAAGTAAAGCAGCAATACGAATTCCTTCTTCCTCAGATATGTTCATTGGGATGAGGGAGGATTTACTGAAGTTGACCCGCAAACCCATGGATTCAACAAAGTTGTGTAACATATCCTTGAGAGCAATCAATTGGCTGTCAACCACAGGCAAAACTATCAGTGTGTCATCCGCATAC